CAGCTCCTCCCCTCCCCGCTTCCTCCAGGAACAATTCCATTTCCAACCACCAGGTCCCAGCCTTGCCCCTGCCCTTCAGCCCTGACCCTGGCTGCTGCCTCACCCCACCCCCACCTCCTTGCCCCCTTGCCCAGGGTGGATGTGGTTCACCTGGCCCTCTACAACCTGGGGGTGCAGAGTAAGAAGAAGTACTTTGACTTTGAGGAGATTCTCGCCTTTGTCAACCACCACTGGGAGCTCCTGCAGCTTGGCAAGGTATGCAGGGCCATGGGACGGCAGAATGGCAGCAGCCCATACCACAGTGGGGTTACCACGGTCCAGAGAGGTTTTCCCAGGGTCACACAGTGTGGGCTACGTTCCAGTTTTCTGAGCACTCACTCTTAAGCTTCTGGCTGAGATAAAGACCCAGAACCTTTGAGCTGCTGTATCCCTGAGTCCACACTTCTGAGCCTATGCCTTGCATGGGGCTTCCTGACCTAGATTTTGACAGAGGGCAGGTTAGGACCTCACAGACTCAGCTGCAGGGAGCAAGGGATCAAGTCTGGCTGGAGCAGAGCTTTAGACATGTTTGACCCACTCCAGATTGCCTGGCTAGGATGGAAAGTGAAGTGGGCCTGCCCCCTGCTGGTCACACTTTGAGTAGCAGAAGTGGGCACCAGGGGCCTGGGAGCCTGGGATCCATGGAGTGAAGTAACAAACCGGATCTTCTGGATGTCAGAGGTGGAGAGTGACTTGCTCAGGGCGTTTGGAGCTGAGCCAAAACTGGAGCAGGGGCCTCCCCAGCCACTTCCTCAGTTGAAACCATGTCCCCTTTTCCCCTTGACACCCTTAGAATCCTCTCCCACATGCAGTGAAGCGTCTTCTCTCCTGACTGCCCCAAATCCTTTGATGAGACTGGGATTAAAAAAAAAAGTAACCCTTATGCTTTGCAAAAGTTTTACATATAACATTTTCATTTACAGGGTTTGATAATTTATAAAGACATATGTATTATAAAGCCCTAAAAATTAGGTAGAGCTGGTATATATTTTTAAAACAACCTTTTTCCCCCTGATTTACAAAAATATCATACATGTTCCTGGTAGAACAATTTTAAAGTACCAGAAAGCATAAGGAAGTGTGCTTGTTAAAAAAGCCATCCATGTTCCCACATCACACAACCCAGAAACAGCTGCTCTGAAGGCATTTTCTTCCATCTTCTCTGTATATTTTTTATTTTTATGTGATTTAGATTATACAGTATTTTAAATAATCCTTTTCAGTTTCATTATAAGTACTTTTTCATATCATGAAAGAGTTCTCATAAACATTTTAAAGGCTGCAGTGATTTCCACCATAGTTTATTTGTTTCCTTCTTATCAGACAGAAAGTTTCTTTCCCATCAGCCCAGCATTGGCAACAGTGCTACCAAAGCTGTACAAAGCTTTTGTACATAAAGCTTTGTCTGTATTTCATATTCTGTCCGTATGTTAGATTCCATGGAGCAGCATCACTGGGTCAAGGGCATGGACATCTTTTAAAGTTCTTGACACATTTAGAACAGGAGTTACTCTCCCTGGTTAGAGATGGGGGCTGAGCTCAGGTGAAAAGACTTGTCTGAGCTCAAGCGGTAGGTCACTGGTTCTCCCCTGGAGGACTCAGGAGACTGAGGGGAGGGAGGTGTTGGGCGGAGGCCGCCTCAGACGCCATATGCCAGGGTCTGACTGTCCTGCTCTCCCTTAGCTCACCAGCACCCCCGTGACTGACCGAGGACCGCATCTCCTCAACGCGCTGAACAGTTACAAAAGCCGGTGCGTGCAGGGAAGGGAGTGCCGTGGGACCCCCTCCAGGTGGGATTTCAATCTAAAGGTTCTTCCTGCCTCGTAGCCTTTGCTCAAACTGTGCTCCCTCCTGGGTCTCCTGCCCCTTCTCTTTAACTGGATAAATCCTACCTGTCCTTCAAGATCCAGGGAGCACCCAACCTCCTTTGTGACACTTCCCCTGACCCCTCCAGCAGCCTGACACATTCTTGTCTGGGGGCTGCACCCCTGTCCTCAGAGGGCCCCTCTTACCCTCGCCATCTAGATCTGGGCCAGGCACCAAGGGAATGATTCACCTTCTCTCATGTGGGCCCGTAGCTTCCCATCCAGACTTCTCTTTGAGTTCTTCACCGAACAGGCAGCTGACACGTCCCTCGCTGCCACCACAGGGAATGCCCAGGCTCCGCAGCACAGCATTTATGGCCCTTTATGAGACCCTTCTGCCACTGTCCCTTTGCCTTATTTATTCTGGAAGTCAGCCATTCTGAACCATTTGTTTCCCCACTCATGCTTTTGCTCACACACTTCCCTTGCATTCATTTGTTCCATCAACTATTTATGGAACTGCTGCTCTGTGTCAGCCTGTGTAGGCGGAGGACACAGTGGTCCCTGCTTCCATGTAACGTATCCAGACATCGCTAGGCAGACTTACCCACTCTCTCCCACCTTCTCATGGTTTGGGGCCCAGACACAGCCCTACTCTCGAGTCCATGAGGCTCCTGTCCTTCTGGGGACAGTCTCCTGAGGGTAGGGCTGTGCCCTCTGCAGCCTCATGGCAGCCCAGCTGGTGCTGGGAGGATGAGGGCAGTGCCTGGCGGTGCTTTCGGGCTCCTTGGGGAGAGCAGAGAACAGAATGGCGTTCCACTGGGAGCTGGAGGAGGCCTTCCTGTGGGAGGTGGCCTTGGGGCTGGTTGAGGCAGAGAAGAAAAGGGAGAGCAGCAGCAAGAGCCACGCACATGCAGCAGAGGACAGGGAGAAACCACCAGCCACATCCTCAGCCACCGCCTGGGACTCCTGACCCCACAGGCTTTGGGGACTCGGCTCCTCAGGCCTCTCTGAATTTTAGCTCTGGGTCCAGGGAGGCGCAGAGAGTAGTTTTAACGCTTGACTCTCCTCCCCAGGAGGATGGCCCGACAGACTCCAGAGCTCTCTCCTTCCCTGCCCACCCCCAGGTTCCTCTGTGGCAAGGAGATCAAGAAGAAGAAGTGCATCTTCCGCCTGCGCATCCGAGTCCCGCCCAACCCGCCAGGGAAGCTGCTGCCGGACAAGGGCCTTGTGCCCACCGAGAACTGCGCCGCCTCTGAGCTGCGTAAGAGAGGAAAGAGCAAGCCTGGGTCAGTGCCCCCGACCCAGGGGCTAGGGCTGCAGCCGAACTCCGGATCTCTGCTCCCAGCCCCTGCCCCAGCCCGCAGCCCCAGCCCCCAGGCCATGTGATGGGCCCAGAGAGGATGCCAGCATCCAAGCAAGCAGGGAGGGCCTCCACCCAGCTAGTCCCACTGGAGGCCCCTGAGAGGCCAGTTAGTGGCTGAGCCAGGGCTGACCCCGCATGGTGACCCCTTCCGCCACAGCCTATTATTGCTTCGCTTGGGGGAAAGGCCAGATCGTGGGACCCAGTCTTACCCGATTAGGGCTTAGAGAAGTCAGAGTGTCAGGGGTCCCTGGTTTTCCTGGTGGAGCTGAGCCCCTGCCTCCTGGGCATGGGGGGCAGAGCATCCAGATGCGTGTGCCTGAAAGGGGCACCTTCTCTCTTCTCTGCCCATCATACCCCCTCATCCCCTCCCGTACCTGCTGCCCCAGAGGCCTCTCCTTCGTCCCCAAGTCTCCTTGTGAAGGAGCGCCCGTCCCACCCCCATGGCTGTGGCCCCTGCCCTGCCACTCCTCCCTCTGGGCCACCTCCTGCGCCTTCAGGCTCTGATGGGGTCACCCTCTCCCTTTTCTGTCTCCGCAGTTTGTTGCCTCATGAATTCCAGCAGCAGAAAAGGCGAGTTTATAGAAGAAAAAGATCAAAGTTTTTGCTGGAAGATGCTATTCCCAGTGTTAGTTCCTTGTTTTCTTACTCTCCACTTTCACATGCAGGGTCAGCACATATTAGGGGTTCCTGTGCAGAAAGTGAGCCCCCCAGGCCCAGGGGACTGTCCCACGTCCCATAAAGGAGAAGCCAGCTCCTATCACAGCTAAACGAGGAAGAGCCAGGCTCTGCAAGACCAGTCCTTTATCTCCCCAAGTTCTCCCCAGAACCTGAAGGGAGGGCAAGGGTAGGTAATATCCTTGGTCCCTCTGTCCAGGTGGGGAAACAGAGCCACAGAGGGGCGATGACTTTCCTGAGGTCACACCTCAGGCAGTGGCACAGCCCAGCCTGCCCCGGGGCTCCAGGGCTCGCCCTCCCCCTTCACCTGCCCTCCTTTGGGCAGCAGTATTAGCAGTGCCTCCCACCCCCCCGGCTCTTCACAGTTTACAAGGCACTTTCATAACCATCATTCTACTCTGCTGTCTTCCTGACACCTCTCAGAGTGGAGCGCGCCAGGGGTCGCTGTCCACTTTTGCAGCTGAGACCCAGACATGGGAAGGTTGTGCAGTCGGCTAGAGACAGAGCCAGGACTAGAGCTGGGTGACCTGGCTCCCTGGTCAGGCAGGGCTGGGAATAAGAGGAAGCGAGGAGTCTTACCCTGGGTGGGGGCCCACCCTCAGAAGCCCGCTGCACCAGCAGGCAGCCTGTAGGCCTCAGCCAGGAGATGACCTGAGGCTCACTGGCCTGCCCTCCCCTGCTCCTTCCTGTGTGTCCACAGAGCGACTTTACCTCGGCCTGGAGCACCAACCACCACCTGGCCAGCATATTTGACTTCACATTGGATGAAATTCAGAGTTTAAAAAGGTAACAGTGAGGGACCCAGCAGCGAGGTCTGCTCTGGAGACTGGGACGGCGCCAGTGGGGAGCCCACCTCCACTCCCCTGGCAGTGAGGATGGGCTGATGGCACACTCACCCTCTCCTCCCTCTCAGTGCCAGCTCGGGCCAGACCTTCTTCTCAGACGTGGACTCCACAGACGCCGCCAGCACCTCTGGCTCCGCGTCCACCAGCCTCTCCTATGACTCCAGGTAAGCTTGCTGGCAGCCTGGACTCATGTTCTGCCATCCCCCCTCTCCCCTGCACCAGCCCTCCACCTCCCACTTCTGTGACACGTGGCCCATTCTGTGCATCTGAGCATCTGAGTCTTGGGCTAAGGGACCTGGCCTTCTGCAGCAGGGAGTCTGGGTCTGAGACTCTCTGGTCTCAGTATGGACTTTCAGGTGGCTCCTCTTTGCTGCAGAAGACTGTGTGGCATTTCTCTTTGGGCAGTTCCAGCCCAGGGTAATTTGACCAGAGGTTCTTTTTCTGGGCTTCCTGGCGTCTGCATGCCAGGATGTTGCATGTCTGTCCCTCTGACTATAGGGTCCCGGCCCTAGTTCTATCTCCCAGGTCTCTAAGGAAAAGAGCCATGGATTCATGGAACCCTGGTGGAGAGGAGAATGGCATCCTGCAGTGTGGGGTTTCGGAGAGGGACAGCGACCCTGGAGGCCACGCTGAGGGGCCAGCTCGCTTGGCAATAGCCAGTCCTCAGCGCCGTAGGGAGGGTGGTGCTTCTGAGCCCTGGGCTCCTTTAGCTCTATTTTGGAGTACTGGAGGCCCCAGCAAAAAAAAGAATTATGTGTCTTGGGAGTTTTTCTCTGACTAGGTGTCCTTCTCTGCTGTTGCCTCTGTATTTTCATTTATTTCTTGTTTTTTTTCCACTAGCTCTTTGGCTCTTTCTGTTTCAAGTATCTGAATGTGCACCTCTTCTTGTGGGCCCACTTCTCTACCACACCTGCCTCTTTCTGCCCACATGTGTGTGCACGTGTGCACATGTCTGTCTTTCTCCAGTCCGGACTCTGGGGTATGGGGTACTCCAATCCATAACCGCCATCCCACCCCCTTTGACTCGTCTGACTACATACACACGAGCCCAGACGAGGCACAAGGCAGTGTGAGCAGGGCCTCTGCGTGGCATGACTTCAAGTGGCACAGAGGATGGTGCCCCTGGCCGTGTGCAGGGCTGAGGTCCTAAATACAGAGCTGGACATGCCGAGGTCTGAATCCTGGCTCTGTCACTGCCCAGCCTGTGGCTTCTCCCCAGGCGCCTGTTTCCTTCCTCATGGGGCGGATCCACGCCTGGCCCAGCGCAGGGCCTGGTGCCCAGGAGAGTCTCAGGGGGAGGGGCTCGGGAGGGTTTTCCCCTCATTCCCCTTTCTCTCCCCCTCCTGACGCAGACGGACAGTGGGCAGCCGAAAGAGGAAGCTGGCGGCCACAGCATACACACCACTGCGGGCAAAGCGTCGCGCAGCTGAGCTGGGTGGACGCTGCCCCTCAGACAGCAGTGCCGAGGGGGCTTCGGGCCCCGAGCGGGCGGACGAAGGCATCGACAGCCACACGTTTGAGAGCATCAGTGAAGATGACTCGTCCCTGTCCCACCTCAAGTCATCCATCACTAACTACTTTGGCGCGGCTGGGCGGTTGGCCTGTGGGGAGAAGTACCAGGTGCTGGCTCGGAGGGTCACACCTGAGGGCAAGGTTCAGTACCTGGTGGAGTGGGAAGGGACCACCCCTTATTGACTAGCCCACAGGGGATGCCAGGAGCCCTGGAAAGCAAAGAAGAGACGCCAGAAGCCATAGGCTCCCCAGTTCTCTTCAGGGTGGGGTGGGGGAGGGAAGCAAGACAGAGCTGTAAGTGCCTGGCGCAGGGCCCTTTCTGCCGGCCTTCCAGGCCAAGGTCTGCGCCTATCTGCTGTGCCTCAGGCCCATCACCCCCTTGCCTGTGCCTCTAAGGTCCCAGTGTCTCCACACACTCCACACTCCTTCAAACTGCTCACCTGTTCCTTTGAATGTGTGTCCCCCTGGCTCTGGGACCCTTTCTCCTGAAGGCTGAATCTGTCTTTGTCCCCAGTTTTGTGTCACTTACCTCTCTCATCCCTTTTGGGCGTGTGTGTTTAGACACCTGACATGCGCATGCTGTCCCTCCACTTGCTGTCCCTCCCACCTGACTCATGGGGCAGCCAGTCCTCACAGGGACCACATATAAGAACAGGAACCTCTGAAAAAGGTGGGCGACGGGAGTTTTTCTCTCCCACTTTCCTGCCCCCACACCCCCCAGCCTTGGAAAAGTTGGTGAGGGTAGAAGGCCTCTGAAAGCCTGTGCGGCACAGACCCCGGGACTCTCAGGACCTGAGGAGTGAAGAGGCTGGGTCTCTGCCTCAGCCGGTCCCAGCACCACAGCCCTATCAAGGCTCAGAGTGAAGGCTGGGGTGTTAGTTTCTGAGGTCCCAGCTTTCCTTCCCTTGGCCATACCCCTTCTTGGTTATTATGGAGCTAGGCCTGGCCTTGCTGGAATAGAGGTGGCTTTGAAAACCTGAGGGACAGGCAGAGGAAGTGGGAGGAAAGGAAGGCATGTCATGCTAAACCTCAGGCTGTTTCCTGTACCTCCCACCCCCAGACCACATACATGCAACCAAATACAGTCACTCACACAAGCTTCCATCCACGTGCTTTCACCCTCCAGACACAGACATTTGGCTCTGGCCTTGAGGTGTGTACACACACACACACACACACACAGTCACACTCCCTCCAGTGACAGCCTGGCTCCTGCCCTTGGCTTCCTCTTGGCCCTCTTGCAGGGACCATGTGCTACAACTAAATGTGAAAGTCCAGCGCCTGCCCCTTTTTCAGCCCGTGACCAGCCCTGACCCCATTGGGAAGCACAGGGGACTTACCCCTGGCTCCTCGGTCTTATCCCTTGTCCCACCCTGAACTGACAATCACTTTTTGGGACAGGTTGGCAAGTTTCATAGGGCCTCTGTCATTCAGTTCTTATAAAAGGGAAGCCCTTGTCAGTGGAAGTATAAATAGAATTCTTAGAACCAACATTAAAACTCGCACCCATCTGGAGGGAAACCAAAAATGGGAGAGGACCCCTCATTTTTGCTGCTTCCAGAGATACTAGAAACTGATTCACTTGATTGAAAAACAGAAAAAAGTGCCTTGACTCGGGATGGGGGGTGTACCAGATGGGAACCCGCCCTGCCAATTGCTGCTGGGGCCTCCTGCTTGGCTGGGCTTTGCAGGCTGCCAGCTGCTAGGTGAAGGTGGATGAATGGTGAGGGGATGGTTTTTTCCATTCTAGGCTGATCCCTCCCTACCAGTGAGCCTTCAGGGGGTCCCTGGGATAGTTCAGATGCCCCTTGCCTTAAGCCTCAACTCCTACAGTGCCTTTCCAGTGGGACCTCATTTCCTGTGCACAGCCCTCCCACTTCCCTTTGCTTCCTTGGCGTGGACCACACAGGGATGAAATAGGGATGGGCCCACGTCTCCCTCTTCTCGGCCCCACAGCTGCTGCCACTAAAGCCCCCACCGGGGCCAGGTGGAAGGGGAGCTGAGAAGGCAGCTCCCCGAGCCCAGCAAGGGTATGGGACCTGGGATATAATCAGTGGCGTCCTGCCTGGCTTCAGAGAGCACAGCAACCTTCTGAGCCTGCTCTCCAGGTTTCTGAGAAAACATAGGACGAGCAAGGCCTGTCACATGCATCTGCACCTTCTCTACTTGGGCTCCAGAGGGACTCTGGGCTTGAAGAGCCCACTTGGGAAGTCAGCATAAGGCCTGGCAAAGTCACCCTGACTCCGCACCCCAGCCTTTCATTCGTACCAGATCGTAGCTGCATTACTGCCAACTGACCTTATAATCTTGTGCACCTTCTAAAAGATTTATGGTTTTGAATTGCTGCTTTTAATAACATGTTATATTAAAGTTTTAATTAATGTGTCTGACTTACAATTTAAAAGCTCCCTTTGAAAAGTTACCCCTAGTGAACTATCAGCAGTTGGGTAGCAGGAGGAATTGGCTCTGGTTTCGGGCCTTGGTTCCCTGGAGACTGAGGAATGGCGGGACCTCACCCCTCCCTGGCCACCCTGCCACTCCTACCACTGCCTACGAATGCTCTCAGCAGTACCCTCACCCTTACCACCAAGAGGATGTGGAACCTTTTTTCTACTGTGAGTACCTGACCCATGGGGGCAAAAGACATTAGCTGAGGGCCACAGAGAAGTCATAAAGGGTGGGAAATGAACTTAGAAATTGACCCTGTTGAAATATGTAAGTACAGGCATTATCGAACAACCCTAGAAAGGAAGGGAGTTCTTGGCATGCCTCTGCTGGTTCTGACCCGTACCGCTTTGGTTTGAGTCCCTTCGTCCAGTTTTCTCATCCTTCACGTGGCAGAGCTAATCCCTGCTGGGTCCAGCTCCCTGGTGTCCAGAGGGAACCCTTCACATAGAAATGTGATGGATTATTACTTTAAATAAGCTCTACATTTGGGGCAGTGTGGAGACAGAAAAAAGTCAGCTATAGGGAGGTGAAAGCCAAGGATCTAACTGAATTCTGTAATTTCAAGGTAAAGCGTAGCCTGTCAATTCCTGTAAATGTTCACGTCTGCCCTTAAAAATCATCATTGACCATGGCTCCCACTTTTATCTACTATCCCTTCAGTTTCAACCTTTTAACTGCCCTTGGAACAAAACCACAGTTGGAACTGGGGCAATGTAGGGGATGCCAGGGATTGTTCTTTGGGTTGAAATCTATGGACTGGAAAGGTGAATGGCATAAGGTGTCCAGAGACCTGGGTTCAGTTCAAGTACTACAGTGAGCAGCTAGACAGACCCTCCCGGGGACAGACCCTCCCCAGGCTGGAGAGGACTTGGTTCTCTGTGGTCTGGGTTAGTGTTTACAATCTACAACAAATATTAACCTTTGACTTTAGAAGCAAGAAATTAGAATTCTCAGAAATTCTCTAAATCATTAAGTTATTCTTAAAATACTTCATTCTTTATACTCTTTCCTTATTATAACTATCTGGTAAAATTTTGTTTAGCAAATAGGGATATTAAGCTTGGCTGTATTTACAAAGAACTGGAGCCTAGAGGGAATATTTCACACCATAAAATGCCAGAGAATATTATTGGACAGTATTCAAATAACGTAACATTCAAATATCCTAGCAAGGTTAATAGTATAAGAATCACATCTCAAAAAATGCCAAATTGAAAATTTATTTTGCTTTCAAAGCTTACAACTTGGAACATGGGTCACAGGATCTATGTAAAGTATTCTGTATATAAACTTATTTTATTTGCAAGAATAACTCCTGGTTTGCAGCAGACAGGGCTACAGTCAACACTTATGACACAACAATCACAAGCACAACTGATTAGACAGTAACCATTTGTCCTACACACTCCTGTCCTGGTTCTCCTAACCTTCAACTCTGCATGCTGGTGTTTCTTGCTCTTGTTTTTTATTTGATGACGATGGATTCCTTCAAACCAGTAATGTCTCTATTCTTTTAAGCTTTAGTATTCACGGATAATTTTAATACTTTTTCTCATTTCCTCAACTGATTTTTCTGGGGATTCCAGATTCAAAAAACATACATGTCCTGAGAAATGTTGGGAAGGCATTCCCACATGGAAACACTAGTTTAGGCCCTGGCCTCAGCTCCCAGAGCATCACTGGGGAGGACAGTGTGGTATCGGCCAAACCATGGGAGTTGGAGTCATGCAGACCCTAAAAATCACTGAACTCCTCTAACTCTGTCCTATTGTGAGGATACTATCACCAACCTCCGGATCTGTGAGAAGTAAACAATGCAATCAATATGTTTCTAAGTGTCAGACTAACTTAGCACATAGATGGTTGAAGAGCCAAGAACTCCTTCTTTAGAGTAGGCTATGGCAGCCTCTCTGGGTCTTTGGTCTACAAAAGGATATTATCCAACCTCTTTGAAAGAGGCAGTAAAGAGGATCAAGTTTAGAACCTGATTTGGGTTCAGAGCTTAGCTGCCACTTACTTTAAGTGTCTTAGGTGCTCTGATCTCTGGTTTCATCCACAAAATGAGGACATTGAATTATAAGGGTAAAATAATGTTAAGAACCTAGGACAGTGCCTGGCAGAGAGAGCTGGTGCTTTGCCCCTCTCCCCTTCCATTTCCTGTAATAGTCACTGAGGTGAAAGGCCACCAAGAACCAGTTTTCAATGCACAGTCAGCACAGAAAATGACCCCACAAAGGCCACACATAGAAAACTCTCCTTTGGAATTAGTTCCACTTTAAGAAAGTTCAAGGAAAAAAGTTGGATTTTGCCCATTCCATAAGTTAGAAAGTAACTGTGGAATGTAGAAAAAGCTTCAGTTATTCAAATCCTTGAGACACCAACTTGGGAACTATTTGCCACATCCTGTGCAAGAGATCAAAAGGATTCAGGCATGCCCCTGACCTCGAGCAGCTCACAGTCTAGAAGTACAAGGCTGGCTGATGCACAAGTGTAACAGCGGCACCGGGACAGGAGAGAGTCTGTCTGACCGGGGAGCCAGGTTTGCAAAGGAGCCGTCCTGTTTCGCAAGCATTCATGCAGGAGGGCACTCCAGGCAAAGGGTATGCCCTGAACACAGGAATGACACCACACAGTTCGCTGAGCCATCCACTTGCAGGAGGAGAGGAGAGGGAGGTGAGGACGGAAAAGTGAGTTAGGGCAAGGTTAGGAAGGGCCTTGAGAGCCAGACCAAGAGACTGGACTTTATACTGAAAGCTATATGGGCAGAACATTTGGGGTCCCCGTACATATTCAGTTGAGTTGGCGTATCAGAAACGTCTGTTGTAAAAGGGACATGATCGTTCTCTGTGTTCTCCTCCTGAGTTGGCCTGCCACAATCCCCACTGGCTATCAAAAAAGCATTCTCTGGACCTCTGAAAAGGCCTTAGCCTGAAGTCCCTACAAGGTCCTCACAGAAGGGCCCTTGAAGATCCTGCCCATTTATATTTGGAGGAACTAAGGTTTAAGAAGACTAGCAAGTGTCAGAACTAGAGGACTCCCAATTTCAATGCTCAAGTAAAAAGGTTAGCAAGGTGGGCTCAGAACATATGTCTCTATTAAGCAAGGCACCGGAACCTTCTGACATCCGTCATATTCAGGCTACGAAAGTGAAGACCTATTCCTACCCATGAGCTGTGTCTAAGTGCTAATATTTCCCCAGTCCTAGACCCACTCCTGAAGCCCATCCCCAGGCCCACCCTTAGCTAAGAGAAACAATCCTGCTTGTGTCCAAAATGGCACCATTCACAATCCATCCTTTTGAATAAAAAAATGTGCCAGTTCCTCTAGAAGGTGACCTTCATCCCACACACTTCTAGGTAAACAGGTCATCGGGTCTATTTCTCCTCCTGAGAACCAGGAGAGTAATTCGACCCTAGACACTCGAGGTAGGCCCAGTGACTGCTGGAGATGACAAACCTCACCCTCACTGCCACCTCCCCTTGACCCTTACACACAACCGTCCTCGCCCTCCCACCCCCTGGCCACCTTTAAGCATGAAGCACTCAGAGACAAGTTCCACTGGGTTCTTGCTTGGCCTGACTGGCCCAGCCTCCTCTGTGAGCCTCAGGAGCTTCAGACCTTCAGCCTCCACAAGTTAACTTAGCTCCTCTGTGCTGACAAAAACAGGGAATCCAGAGATGCTGGGAGGCAGGAAGAGGCCTCTTTCCCCAGAGTGCAGCTGATGAAGGCTAGAGGCAGCCAGCAGGATCCACAGAAAGCCGCCCCCCTCAGCCCTCTTCCATGCCCTCCTCCAGCCACTTTAAATAGTGCACATCTCCTTGGTCCATGGGAAGACTGAAGATCTCTGGGATTTCAAAAGGATGCACCGACCTTTGGAAAGAGAGCGGAGTCCTGTGAGTGACTCCTCGAGTGTCCTCGAGTGTCTAAGATTAGAATCAGCCCGTGCAACCAAACCCAACAGGCTACCCTCACCAGAGGCCCTCTGCAATGTGCTGCAGCCCCCCTGCCCAGCTCCATAACCCCCCCCCCC